TGTAATGAGTAGTGGAATAAACGATTGCAGTTTTCGTAAGCAACAAAGCTTTAGTCGTTCAATGCGATTTCGCTCATCGCTGTGACGATGCACTTTCGTTATAAAAGTGAAGGACATGTTGTTAATCTTACATGACTCTTTGCTGCCCATCAGTGCTGTAACCACGGCCGGATAGTTCAGTCGGTTAGAGCGTGGTGCTAATAACGCTAAGGTCGTGGGTTCGACCCCCACTCTGGCCAGCAATAATTTTTTTGCCTAGTTATACGAATGCGAAAGCATTCTATAAATGCTAATTCAATTTTTACTAGAAAGTGCTTCAGTTTTCCCATTGACTCTTGCTTGTCTTGCTCTTACTAAGCGGAGCTGTATGAGTGAAAATCTGAAGACTGGTAGCATTGAAGGGTGCGCTGTAGCTTGTGCCTAAATTGGCTAGCGGAAAGGAAGTGAAGAGCACTATTGCCACAATGTCCATTATTGATAATTCATGCCGATACATACTGCACCTCTGTTATTCAATTGTGGCAAATGGAAAAAGAGTAGAACGAAGCGGCAATATCGCAATATGTCACGCAGCTGTTGTAAGAGCACTATGACGATTTGTGTGACGCACGTAGGATTCTTTTGGCTTCGCTTCCATGTTTCATCGTTCAAGAAGAAAAAATGAATTGTACCACGTCAACCTGAAAGACAAAAATCCCGAATCACCAAACCTTCTGCTCTGCCCTGTTCCTCGCAGTTGGCATGCGCCACTGAAGACTAAACCAAAAAGGAGAGTGCATAATAGTCCCTAGGTTTAAGATTAGGCTTAGGTGATGTACTTCAACTGTGACGGACAAGAGGCAACAGTCAATCTCGGTGAGTGATTCAGGTGCTTATCTTTCGAGGTTTTGAACTACACGGGATGAAATATAACGCGTCAGAAATCGGTGTATCTGAGCTACCTCACAAAGCAACAGCAACGGCAGTAAGCTTGAAACTTTGTTAACTTTTTCCATGCATGTGAAGCAGATGTTCGGCTCAATGACGTTCACAAGGCAAAAGGCAAAGAGCGTTCGCAATATTGTAAATCAATGTTTCTCAACGGTACACCCGCTATCACCCCGTTGACTTCGCTTTTGAGCCGTGTGCCCCTTCAGCTGATATTTCTCCGAGAGTTTCCACTTCTGCGTTTCCTACAATTTTTCGAGCTTAAGGGTCAGGCTTCTTGAGTGCGGTTATTTTTCGCGGTAGGAGGCTAAAGAAGCTTACCTCTCTTCCATCCTCAGTGCTCAGCTCCCTTTCAATCATTTGTCACCCCCTCACACGCGTCTCACGGGCTCCTTGGAAACCGATGCTTTGAAATGCGAGCTTGAAATCAGAAAGGTTTCAACCATCGACGCATTCATATCAAGTGTCTATTTGACCTGAAAATGCGTCTAAAAGTTCCGTTTGTATATGTACGCGACGGAGCAACCTTTGTCGAGCCTTCCACCTGGCTCTACAGTGGAGTTTCTCTTTAATACTCATGTCAACAAGTCACGCGAGTGAACTGACCGTCGTAATGAAGAACG